TAGAAAACCGATCCCAACACAAGCATCATCGATCCCAACAACCCCACAACCCCACACACATCGATCCCAACAACCCCACAACACAACACAGCCAGCAACGCATCGATCCCAACACCCCACAGTCTGTCGATCCCCACCCCACAAGCTATCGATCCCAACACAGCAGTAGTGCATCCATCGATCCCAGCACATCGATCCCAGCACAGCAACGCATCGATCCCCACACACAACTCCATCGAACCCAGCACAGCAACGCATCGATCCTCACCCCACAAGCAATCGATCCCCACACAGCAGGGCATCGATCCCAACACAGCAACGCATCGATCCCAACACAGCAACGCATCGATCCCCACCCCACAGTGCATCGATCCCAACACAGCAGGGCATCGATCCCCACCCCACAGTGGGTGGATCGATCCCAACACAGCAACACATCGATCCCCACCCCACAAGCAATCGATCCCCACCCCACAGTGGGTGGATCGATCCCCGCAACCTGGCTGAGGTGGGATCGCTTTCGAGTCGATCCCAACACTTCGTGTCAGTGAACTCTCCGCTTGCTCGTAGATATTCAGCAGCTGCGTTGCGAGCTAAACTGCACCTGGATAGCTAGCTAGCTAGCTAGCTAGCTAGCTAGCTAGCTGGGTGCGCTCGTTACCACCTGCGCTTGAAGCTGAACTGCAGCTAGCTCCCGAGGCACCTCCTCAACGAACACTAGCTAGCTAGCTAGCTAGCTAGCTAGCTAGCTAGCTAGCTAGCTACCTAGCCAGCTAGCTTCGCCTCTACGCAGCTTTCTGGCCATCTGGCTAGCTAGCTAGCTAATAATCTGGTTAGCTAGCTAGCTAGCTAGTTATATGGCTAGCTAGCTATATGGCTTTCTAACTGTATGGATAGCTAACTATATAGCTAACTAGCTAGATAGCTGGCTAGCTATATCGCTAGCTAGCTGGCTATCTATATCGCTAGCTAGCTAGATAGCTTACTAACTAGCTAACTAGCTAGCCAGCTAGCTAGCTAACTAGCTAGCTAACTGGCTATATCGCCAGCTAGCTAGCTAACTAGTTAGCTAGCTAGCTAACTAACTAGCTAGCTAGCTAGCTAGCTAACTAACTAGCTAGCTAGCTAGATGGCTAGCTAACTCGCCAGTTGTTTGTATGAGTTGAGTTGGTTTCTGTGTCTGTTTGTTTGTTTGTTTGTTTTGCTTTCATCGACTGGAGGGCGGCTGAATGTCTTAGCAACCTGGAGAGGGTTTAGGAGGGTTTTAGCTTACAAACCCTAAACCCTAAACCCTAAACCCTAAACCCTAAACCCTAGAAAGCAAAAGACACAGATAACAGCAACTCAGCACTGGCCTCCGCGGGGCCGCAAGAAGCGCCCAGCAACTGGACATCGCTGCTGCTGCTGCTGCTGCTGCAACTGCTGCAGCAGCAGCAGCAGCAGCAGCTGCTGCTGCTGCTGCAGCATGAGGGGGGTGGGGGCCCCCTCACAAATCCCCCGTTAGAAGGTCTGGGGCCCCCGACTGCCAGGGGGGCCCCCCGGGGGAGGGGGCCTCGATCCCTGCTGCTGCTGGTGCTGTTGCTGGTGCTGCTTCTGCTTCTGCCTCTTCTGCTGCTGCTGCTGCTGCTGCTGCTGCTGCAACAGGCGCGCTGCTGCTGTCAGCAGCAGCAGCAGCAGCAGCAGCAGCAGCAGCAGCAGCATCGTCAGAATTGTACTCGGCCTCATCTAGGTCATCCCAGGGGCTATGAAGGTTTGCTGCTTCGTCTTCATCGAGTTCTGCTGCTGCTGCTGCTGCTGCTGCTGCTGCTGCTGCTGCTGATTCATCTTCTGCTGCAGTTGGTGCTGCTGCTGCTGCTGCTGCTGCTGCTGCTGCTGCTGCTTCAGGTGTATCGACAGCTTGGTGCTGGCATTCTGAGGGGCTCTCCTCGCCCCACAGCAGCGCCGTCTCCTCGATCACACCTGAGCGGC